AATTGGGTCTAACTGCTAATCGCGGAAGAACCGGTTCCAATGATCGTGTCAATTCGGTGTCAAACACCCACGATGGTGGAACGGATGCTGCCGCTAGCGAAGATGATGGGGTTTCTATGGTAAGTCTGTGAGGATTATTTTTCGGATAATGACGAACTGTCAGTTCGACTGCGGATGCGTACTAGATGCAGTAGTTGCCTTGTTACTCTGTTATCTTGTTCAGTATACCCGTGCACAAATGAGACAGATTGATATGCACCGGTAATTGTTTTGCTTCAGATTTTGATTCTTGTGAATGAAAACATCCGTCTAATGGTCAAGTGTTGAAAATCGATTATTTCAACAGGGAACGGGACAAGTTGGTAACCATAAATTCTATTCCGACTCATACATGAGTTGAAACAGAGTGAAAGAATGGAACCTTAAACTTGAGAATTGGAACCTGGAATAAGCCTCATCACGTCCGAAATAATTGTGCAATGGATAGTGTCGATGCCAGCTGTAGCGTTAATCAGAATTGGCAAAATGGTTCCATCACCCTGGACGCAGTCTTTGTGTAATCGAAAAGTCATCACGTTAACCAATTCAGTTCTCTGCTGTGTATTAAATCGGACCCTCAAGTAACTTATGCGTAGTCCTAATGATTCTTCTACAGCAAACAAGAGAGCTTCCAATCACAATCCGTTGATCAGACTGAATACAACATATTTTACATTTCTCTGTCGTTGAGGTTTCACCCATCGGAGATTGTGTTTATATTAGCCTCGCGCCCAAACAGGATGTTTGAAAAATGGGGGCGTTAGTTAATCAAGCATCATCAGTCTATATTAATTCGCTATCTTCCGCTTGAATTTGTTCTCAACATTCCAATCTTAATTCTGCTCTTTTATCCAAATGGACAACCAAAAGCGGTGCACGGAATTGCATGGTTAATGGTTTTGAAAACCGTGCGGAACTGAACCAGAAACTTCGTAACAAAACTTTCTTCTGGTGATGCTACCAGTTATGTGCGCCTAAGTTAGCATGAATGGCGATGCGCGCAACTGTGTAACACGAGATGTGGAACCAAAAGCAAATAAAAGTGTTTGTTTCACTTTCTATAATTTATCTGTCGTATTCATTAGAGTAATAACACCTAATTTAGTACGTGATTTTCTATCTTGTTTAATTGCTACCATATATTACACAGCGGAACCTGTAGATCAAAAATCATGCAGTTCTAATCGGGATTTTGAGTAGTAGTAAATCGCACGGGAATCCTTAAGCTATCGTCTTAGTGCATTACGGTCTTGGTGTAAAATTCTCACACGTTTGGCCACCGACATCAGAAGCTATATTTTCATTTTATTGAGGCTTCTAATGAAGTTCATTTCTGGATTGAATAAATGAACGGTGAAGCAAGTTCCACCTTAACAATGTGGGGGGCTCTATTCATGCCAGTACATCACAATATATATCCCTACTAAGGAATAAAATTGTCTCGGAAAAGAACGAAGTCTCATCATATCAGAGATTACCTGAAATTGATTTCATCATGAGACTGGATGAGTGGACAAACAGCTATGTGATCATGCTGAGTCCGATTTCTTGTCTCATCTTTGTTGCCAATGAATGTCTAGTGTTATCGATGGGACATTTACGGGCGATGTACTGACATAGTCACAAAAAATGACCCTTTCAGAAATAAGACGGAGATGAGGTGAACTTTTGTTGTTGTTATGCCCCACTAGGATTGTCGTCTTCCGGAGGGCATACCTGTTAATCGTTGCATAGCGACTGCGCTCTCCAATGGGCGTTGTAATCTTCCCATATCGCTCATATAGTTCATTTGATAAGCAAAATCGACTCACTTAAGCCGGTAGCATGCTAAACCATACGGTGTTGGTTTTTACGTCCAGTACAGCTTTTGTTATATTGTCATTTCGGAGTAGCCACCGCCTTAGAATGCAGGCCATGACTCATGCGTATCTCAGAAACACGCTATCGTCGTTAGACATTAGTCCACTGATTTTTTCGTTGACTGATGTTGCTGTAGATTTACCTAGTAACAGTTAACGTTGCGTCTGAATTATCATTCCCCTGAGCGCCTTACTGTTCTTTATGGTTCTGATATCCAATCTGAACTTTGAGTCCCTTGACAGTGGAAACATTTCGGAACAACAGTCGTTTGAAGTGTTCGTTTAACCATTCCTATGATGCAATTCGAGTCGGTGTTCGAGTTGTGCTCGAGTTTCCTGTTTCTTCTTTTTGAAATAAATAATACACTAAAATTGGGGTGTTGCGATTTCTTTCAGCAAAAGCATTTGTCAGATGAACAAAAATGTATCCGACAGAGTACATGATATTGCTACTAAGAGTGTGTGTGTATGTGTGCGCTAATAAGTACATACACGAAAGTGGTGCATCACTGCATTGTAGACCGAAGTTAGACTTTCTACCAAGTAAGTGAATCTATACGGTTTGAACTTGGCAATGATGTAAACAGAAAAGAGGAAATACAAGTATAGAGAAGGCGAATGAGGAAAAACACATCATAGAAAACAAAAGCGAGTTTTTGTTCACCTCGTTGTACGACTTTAACCGTTTTTGTCCGTATTTGAATGACACCTACCACGGTAAGCATCATGCATATAGGGAGCCTATCCGGGGGCATAAACACATGTTCCGACCAGCACTGAAGCACCCAATTCAGGGCTCCATCATCATCCCCGAATGGCGTACCCTCGATCCCAGCTTTGCTCACTCAGTTTCAGTTTGTACAACCAGTAACCATGTCCTTCCGTGAACCGGTTTTGGTTGCTGTCTTTTGGCTGCCCATTTGTATGAACAGTAGCGGAAAGACAGGAAAGTTGAAAGTAGACTCGAAGAGGAAATGGGGAATTTCAGTGGACTAAGGTTGCAAAGAAATGGAAAAGATTGACAAACACCCTTGTTTACGACACTCAATCATATAACTCAGTGTCTCTAACCACGGGTAATGATCATTCCGAGGTCCCCATCCAGGGAGCCTAACAGGACCTATGTGACCGAGTCTCCTGGTTAGGATTTTCATACCCTCTTACCAGGTCTTAGTTTGACCGCTCTTGATTTTTTCCAACCGCCACCTACCTCGGCAAAAATCGCTCTCCGCGGCGACCTATTTGGTAACATGCGTAACGCGTGCCCCAACTAACGTAATCTATGGAAGTCGACCAGTTGCTCTAGTGGGCGACCGCGGTTACCCAGGACTACGCCTAACCTTAGCAGTGTTCGTCCGGTTTCCCCACCAGAATCGTGCAATCCCTCGTAGACTTAGTTAATCCAACCAAGCATGTCATTTCAAAACCAGTACTGTCTTTTAGGTTCTATTTGGTTCTACAAGGGTTAGAGGTGTACCCTCAAATAAAAAATCTATACTGCGGATGTCACTCTCACTCGTACCCATATACTCTATAAAACCAGTTTACCCTGGCCGCAAGTAACCGAAGTAAAGCAAGTTTTGTATAATACCATGGCGTAATTCGTTCATGCATGTTTTATGTTTTTCTTTCTGGAGTTTGTGAAATCTTTCACACACCGTTTAAAAGTGTATTTACAATATAAAAATTGTTTAAAGGTTCCTGATTTGAAATCTTGTCAGACAGATTGTGCGATTTATCTTTCGTTTATCTCTGACTCCAGCGCCGTGCTTCGCA